TTCTCACACTAGATTTTCATGCTTTTTAAACTATCTTTGTATAGTTAACGTTAAAACTGTTTTTTGTAAATTTTTTTTTTACTTTTTGAAAAGTAAGATCGAGGATTTTAGTAATTTTCGTGAAACATAAATTAAAAGGACATGAAAATAAGGTGTTTTTTGTTTTGTTTTAACTTTGTTATGTTTAAAGATTTTGCATGGTATAAATACAGAGGACATTAGTTCCAAAACTAACACTTGGTCCATTTCTAACACTGAGTGTTATAGAAATGGGCACATAATTGAAAGACTGGGGTTTAAGGATCCCTGCCCATATAGAGAATAAAACTTTATAGTAAAAAGTATAACCAACATTTTATTAAGCATTACAAGGACAACAATTCAGAATTTAAACTATTTTCTTAAATTAAAATTATGAAAGGAGTTCTTTTTAAATTAAATCTCTTGACAGTTTTCAAGACAATGTCAGGTTTTCCATTTTCGAACATATCCTGAATTTGAATCATTGTCGCGTGTTCGAGACAAACCCCACTTTCCCGTTTTAGAGTATAATCCACAATTCTAAACAAAACTCATTTTCAGAACTTACAAAACAAATCACTGAAAGTAAAAATTATCTTACGAAGCTAAATTAACTTCTGAATTATTTCTAGAATCTTAGTTTCCAAATTTATCTGTTAAATTAGAGAATATTGATGATTTATTTTCAAGTAAAAATTATTATTTTTAAAAATGTGTTCGACATACTTTTTTAACTTTTTAAAATCCTCCTTTACACTCTAACCATTAAAGTTAGAGGTATAGTTTTTTTAATGAACAGGCCTTGAAAACTTAGACTAGGGACATTAATCACACTCCCCTATCTCAACTCTAAGGGGAAAATCGAAGGGGGGTTGGAAAACATAAATATAGCTTTACAGAATGGGCCCATTTCTAACACTCAGTGTTAGAAATGGGTCAAATGTTAGTTTTGGAACTAATTTCCCCTGATAAAATGTATATATGTATATATTCACGTCAAGTAAATTGCATGCAAAATTGAAATCTTATATTTGTTCAACAATAACTCCTCTGTCTTATTAAAGAGCTAAATTAAGAAAAACAAAAAAGGGGATGGTGGAGTGTGAACGTATAAAATGCCTTATTTTTGACGACGAAATGTGCACCCTTCAGAAGGTGGGTGGTGAGGATAGTAAAGGTCGGAGAGTGTTATGAATGCCAAAAACAACCTTAAAACATGTGATTTAATGGGAATCGATACCCATATTGTATACCATGCGCATAGAATGAACACAGAGTGGGGATGGGGTCTCTTTAAAAAACAAACGGTAGTTGGGGTAGTAAGGGTAGTTGCCATCAGATTCAACTCCAAGGGTGGGAGTGGGGTCTCTCTGAAATATAGACGGTAGTTGGGGTAGTAAGGGTAGTTGCCATCAGATTCACCT